TCTTTGACTACAACTTATGCATGATATGTATATCATGTCTGTACTATCATGTTGGAATTGTGTAAAACAACTCATTCCAGGACTTGCCAGCTTGCACTGTCCTAGAAGTTAAACTTACACTCTAATACATAAATTGAAAGTGAAAATAAACGTTGGTACCTAATAGTGCAGCCACGCTTAAAATATGTAATGTGATAACATTATACTGCATATCTGTAATCTGCAGATAGTCTATAAGTCATTATATTAAAAGTGCCACACTAATAAACTGACATGTCTTGTCAAAATTCACATTTCTCTATCCGAAACAAAAACTTGAACAATGAATAATGAATTTAAATAGCACACTGATATGCTATGCAAGAACAATTAAGTTAAACAACGAAGATGACCCTATGTTTCACTGGTCTCCCCGACCTAGTTTGGTACACATCTTCCTCTCATTGACATGATGCCTCACACCAGTCTGGTCAGCCATGTCGACAATGGTTGCCTGCTTGACTGCCTCAGCCGCTTCCTGTGTCATAACATTAGCTGGCTTCTTCGACGTAGTCGGGACTATCAGCTGGCCGGTTGTGGGCTTACCTATAGCGGTGGGCGCATGAATCACCATTTCATTTCCAGCAGCGGCACTGACTCTAGATGCTCGCAAGAACTGTCTGTTACATTTATCAGTTTTGCCGTTGCTAGCCGTCACCTCATAAGTTTTGTTTTTGAGCCGTTTAGTGACAGTTGCGGGCTTCTACTCTTTTAGCCATGTCTGAATCGGTTGCATCATGACCGTGTCACCGACCGTCAACAGTGGAAGATCATGACTGGACTGGTTCTTACGCTGGGCCAGCGTTGCACGTTTGTCCTCCATTTTAGTAACCTCGGCGTTCTAGTTCGTTGGTTTTAATTTGTCCAACGTAGTTGAAAACATGGTCTTTGTTCTCCTGCCAACAAGTCTCTGTGCCGGGCTAGTGTGGAGACTCTCCGTTGGTGTGTTTCGTAGATTGAGCAGCCGAGATAGAGGGTCCTCTCTAGACAGGTTACCAGTCTTTTCACTGACTTTACCGATGCATCAACAGCGCCATTTGTCCTGCTATTCCCTGAGCTTGTCATTTCATGGGCAAAACCCCATTTTGTGCTGAATGTTCTAAACTTCTCCGAGTTGCACTGAGGTCCACTGTCAGTGATAACAGTGTCAGGTATGCCATGTTGGGTAAAATAATGTTTTAGCTTGTCTATGACTGCCTCGGAGCCTGTCTCTGTGAGGTAGTCAATTTCAAAGAAATTGCTGTAGTATTCAACCGTGACCATATATGTTCTAGCCTCAAATGAGCACAGGTCCGAGCCAACCTTCTCCCACGGACGGCCTGGAACTTCATGCATGAACAATGTTTCATGTCCTTGACTGTCACTGTATGTAGCACACACATTGCATGCTTCAACATGCTGGCAAATGTCAGCCAACATTCCAGGCCAGAAAACTAACTCAGTGCCCTCCGTAGACAGGGGTGGATGGCCATGTGTCCATCATGTAACTTGCGTTTGATATCCACCCGCATGGATATTGGGGTAACTACTCTCTCACCTCGATATATTATACCATCTTGCACAGAAAGTTCATCTATGTAGTTGAAAAACGGAATGATTGTAGGTGCGACGAGTGATTTATCATCTGGCCATCCTTTCATGATTGTGCTCTTGAGTTCTGTAAACGTCTGATCCTTTTCCGACGCTACACAAATCTCCTCAAAACGTCCCCTCTTGATAGGAGAGAAAGATACGTTGTTAACTGTTACAACGTCTGGGACTGGTTTATCCGGTAGTGGACTGCGAAATAGTGCATCAACCACGGGTATGGATGTACCTGGTTTATATACAAGTTCAAACACATATCTCTGGGTCTGCAACAGTAGAGACTGTAGTCTCCAGGGTGCATTTGACAACGGCTTCGACACAATCGCTACCAGTGGCGTATGATCTGTGATTATTGTCACTTTCCAACCGTACGTGTAGTAATGGAATTTTTCCAACCCGAATGCTACAGCCAACATTTCTTTTTTAATTTGTGCGTATCTTGTCCCTGTGTCTGTCAGAGAATGACTCGCGAATGCTACAGGTCGACCATCTTGGAGTAACACCGACCCCACTCCATATTCACTGGCATCATTCTCTAATATTAGATCTTTCGTTGGGTCATAAAATGCAAGAACTGGGGTGTTGGACACCATCTCTTTCACCCAAAGGAATTCTTGGTCTTGTGTCTCAGACCACGTCCATAGCCCATCCTTCTCCACGAGATTGCGTAGAGGCTGTACAACCTCAGTGAGGTTGGGAAGAAACTTGGCCATGTAGTTCATTAGCCCCAACAATCGACGCAGACCGTCAATGTTTGTAGGGGGTTTCATCGCCATGACAGCTCTGGCTGCCAACGTTAGGCCAACGTTGGCGTGCTGCGCAAAAATCTGTTGGGCCAGCGTTGACAATATGACGTTGGGCCAACGTTGGCAATATGACGTTGGACCACCGATGGCCCAATAGTGGGCCAACGTTGGTGCGCTGAGCAAAAATCCGTTGGCCCAACGTTGGCATGAGCTGAAGACAGCCGTTGGGCCAACGTTGGCCCAACGTCAGCATATTATCTGGGGTACCTTACACTACAAAAAATTCCTCAGATAAAACAATTATAAATCGGTGAACGTAGTTTTAGTGAGTGTATATTGGTGTACGTTACTACTTCGTGAATAGTGTTGTAAGCATGATTCCGCTGTGGCCCCTCCCTGGTGTTGCCACCTGTGAGAACAGGCATTCATCACTTATTGCAAACAATAACAAACAACAATAAATGTAATATAACGATAATACAATAATAAATAATAACAATTAGTTTACTTAACCTAGTACTGGCCTCAAAGTTACAGCTAATCTTCCCTTAGAGACGAAGGTTTTCTCCAGTGTGCCATGTTTGTGATGTACAGAACAACAAGCTCATGCAGCTGATCAAATTGAAATTTTGACAATCTAAATTAGGCTTTAAAATGCTCCTCCTCTTGTTCCAATTCTTGAGCCAATTCCGGGAGGGGAGGTGTTGTTCTCCGCATACTGATGTATATATATATATATGCGCCGCATTATTGCTCCCATGTTTCGTTTTCCTTGCCATTTTTTGCCCCCCCCCCCCAATATTTCCCTAGCCATCTTTTTGCCCCCCTTCAATTTTTCCCTGAAAATTTGTCTTTTTGCCCAGAAAATTGTCACTTGGTCACTTGCACATCTGTGGCTCGTCTCCCCACTCATCTCGCGCGTCTAGAGTTTTCAACCCCGTTACAAGGAAATATGCTTTCACCATCGAGCCATCTTTTTGCCCTATGTTTTCACAGTCGAGCAATCGTTTTGCCCCATGTTTTCACAGTCAAGCCATCTTTTTGTCCTCAATTTTCCCATTTAGGTGGAGCATCCCTAGCCAAAAAAAGGTGAGTACCCCCCCAGGAGCGAATGTATGATATTCTCCTAATGTTGACCTTTTTTGATAGTACTGTGTATCCAACACATGTGTTTTCGTTTTCTTTTTCTCTTCAGTGCTAATGCTAGTTACAAAACCTCATCATCTTCATCGAACGAAGGCAAAGGACTGTTCATCTTTGTATACAATACTCGTGAAATTGCTCTTGTTTTCGCGCCCAAACACAATGTACTTTTTAGCACAGCACCATACAGCACCGTTCTAACTGCAGCTGGAGACAGAAGCACGGCATGGCAACGGTGAGGCCTTTTGCCACTCCGTGTCGTGCCGTGCCATGCCGTGTGTATATAGCTTAATATATATATATATATACATATATATATATATATATATACATAGCTTAATATGATATATGATATATGATATATTTCAATATCTGGTAGGTGCGATCAGTAACATTCAACCGATTATCTTCGATCATCAATCAGTTGGGTCCAACCGATTCCCATCACTAATAATCACTGTTGGCCCATGGCCTAACATTATGAATTCCTGCTTGAAAATCCAGGCTAAATGTTTCACTCCATATGTTGCAAACAGTGGTTTAGTGTCAATTTGACGAATATGTGTATTACTATTTAAAGGTTAATTGGACTTCAGTGAAAACTTATCGTACTGTAACATATGATTTACAGATGTTACATAAATTAGTTAGAGACGCGGAGTGTGATTAGACTCTGGGTTGATTTAGTGGTAATATATGTAGACAGAGCATCGCGCGTCTTGCGCGGCTACATTGATGTTATAGGGAGAATGGTAAACATGTTTTAGGTCGGGTGTTTCTAGGGTCATGTGAAATGAGGGTAGGGACATAGGGCTGTGGGTTAGTGACATGTGGGGGACAGATGTGTGGTAGGTTTGGGAGTGATATATAGTGCTTGGTCGGGGTGGACCGGAAACAGACATTAGGACAGATATGTAAGGAATCGGGGAGTCGGGTTTGACTGTGCGCGTGTGATTGGTTTTTGGCTGTTAATATAATTATCCGTCTGTTGAACACAAATCTGTGTATATCTATCTTTACACATCTAAATTCTAAATTATATACACCCTGATGTAACAAATAACGTTACAATACAAATAATAGTGAGAGCCATTAGAATTCAAATAGCTATTGACAATTACTTGGCATGTGTAGTGCACAATATGGTATGTTATTGTTGGGTGGAGGTTGTGTTTGGAATGAAGCATTTGGCTCTAAGAAAGATTATACCATTTGTGTAGATATTGTATCATTCACCAGACTAAATGCACATTGGATCATGTTAATATAATTATTGTGGCCACTCAAGGAGATTTGACTGTTAATACACCCATAGCAAATTAATAGGGCAATTTACAACGCCGGTGGCCACTTCACCCCTAAAATTCTATCCAAGCTAAATGTTGTACAGGTCAATGCTTACCAGTTTCATGATTACTACCAGTATTAACTAAGGGAGTCTAAGATGCCACAGTTGCCAAAGAGTAAGACAGGAAACGAACGTACCAACGTGATAATAGCACACTCTGCTGTAAGTTGAGCAGCGTTGAAAAGAGTGCGAATGAACTTGTATATGTGCCTGTGCTCAGGATCCCGGCAGTCATAATCCATAGGTACCATGTCCTTCTGTAAGTATTGACACAAAGTTTGAAAGTAAGGAGGAAGATAACATGGACCACTGCGCACATTGTCTGAACTCAATACGTCACTGAATTTAGTATGGGCATTGAGGAAAAACGTCTTGGCCATTAAAAAGAAGGGAACGCGTAGCCTATCCACAGGCACTTGGAAACATCCAAACATCCCACAGGCACTTGGAATGTTTCAATAAAAATGATACGGTAGATACACACGAAATGTATTTACTACCAAAGTCTTAATGTTTCTCTACTATTTTTCGCCTCTTATTGCCAATAATTTATTGTAAATGCCATTCAAATGATCCTCTGCAACACAAGTACACCGCACGCACGCACGTCACTGTGCACAAGCAACAATAATATAGTTGTCTTTATTCTTCTTGTTTGTGCACAGTGGTGTGCGTGTGTGCGTGCATGCGGTGTACTCATATGTTGCAGAGGAGCATATGAACGGCATTTCCAGGAATATGCAAGTTATCGGCAATAATAAGCCAGAATTTCGGTGTATCTATACGCCGAAACTCTGTCGGATGGGGTTTTCAAAATAATATAGTGCAGAGCACATTTCTGGCTCAATAAGAACATTTCGTGATATTTGCATACTGCAAGTCTGCTCAAAGTAGGTGTACGTAAGCTTTTTGTTGTAAGGTTTATCCATTTTAAGTATAGCCCTGAAACGCAACATTACAGAAACTGGATGGAATCATTGTAACTCTAAATTGTAAAATTGTTAATAGAAAAATTTCAAAATGAAAGTATCAATGGCACTATAGCTCACCTTGGATGTGAAGAGGGAGATGATATTTAAAATTTGGTAAGTGTTTCATTTATGACAGACCAAAATGTGATCAAATGTCCTTATTCACTGTTTTATACTGATAGAAATGTCACTGTTTTATTTCAGGGTTAGTTTTGATGCGAAAATAAATGTTTCAGAGTCTGAAATCTGGGCGAGAGATGGCGCTACGCCTAAATGATCACCATTTTGCTTTTCGATTATCGCGCAAATAAAAGCAAAAAAATATTCCAGTCAAATTACTGTAACGAAGAATCTAAAACACAATATTACATGTAGGTATGATTAGGTAGGCAGGTAGGTAGTTAGGTAGGTAAATTTAACAAAACCGAATGAATCTAGATGGCCATTTTCATTTGTGCCAAAAAGTGGGCGTGGCTCGAAAGTAGGTCGACTGGCATGCTCCAAAATACCACAAGCAAATCTCGCCCATAAGAGTAACAACTGTATGCAATTTGAAACAGGCGGGTCAAACGGTTCTTGAGTTATCGTTGACCGTATGCAAACACTGAAATGTAGTGAAATTGCAAAAAATCTACCTAATTTGCATAATTTAAAAAAAATATCAAAACCCGTGTGATATGTTTTGGGGCCAGTCCTTATTCATTCACATACCAAAAATTAGCAAAATCCATTGAACCTGAACTGACATATGGCCATTTCCATTTTTGACAAAAAGTGGGCGTGGCTCAAAAGTAGGTCGACTAGCGTGCTCCAAAATAGGACGTTCAAATCTCTCCCATCTTACTATAATTTGGCGAATGTTGTATGTATGTTAATCTTACTATAATTTGGCGAATGTTGTATGTATGTTAATGAAAGGCTCCGTCAGTTTGGATCCAAATAGCGCCAAATTTACAGAAGAGATCGATGAGTACACGGGACGGGTTCTAAACTATACTCGGTTGAAAACCGTTTGTTCGGTCTTAAAAAAGAAAAAAAAACACAAAAAGGGTAAACATTTGCCTGAAAATAGGGGGCACTGTTTTGTTTTCGTTCTGTTTGTATTTCGTTTTGTTTCAACAGGTTTCAATTTCGTGTTGTTCTGTGTATCTCTGTTCTGTGTCTGTGTGTCTGAGATTTGTGTAAGCCCCATAATGTAAGTAGAAATAACCATGTAATAATGAAGTTAAATATTCAGTAGCTATTTGGCCATATTTTCCCATATGAGATGTACAAGTTGAATTTCATCAGAGCAGATTTTTTTTTGGAAGTCTGCAATGCTGTACAGTGTACGGGTGTCGTGAACACCGATCTGTCACAAGCGGTCCGATCACAAGCACGTAATATTACGTCGTCCGCACAGAGTGCAAACATGCGTAGAAATAAGCGATCACAACCACGCAATATTACCTGGTCCCGTCCGCACACAGTGGAAACATGCGAAGCACGTAATATTACGTGCTACGCAGCCAAGTGGTTAATCAGTTGCTGACCTACCAGCCCATTCAGATCTATCTATATTCTAACTTTGGAGTCCGTATCATCAACCAGTACATAGCATACAATAAAACATTTCTGTGTGGGTGCGTGTATTTCACTGTGTACTTGCCAAACAAATGGTTAATGTGTTACGTGTAAGCATGATTGCACATGTATTTGTATTGACATCTCAACCATAAAAAACAAACATGTGCAACAACTAAACTCTCCATATAACACCTTACACATAACACTACTGCACTGGTAACACATGCATCACAGTCACTAAGCTCTAGGAGTAACAACTGTATGCAATTTGAAACATGTGGGTCAAATGGTTCTTGAGTTATCGTTGACCATAGCCAAATGTTGACGAACGGTTGGACGAACGTACGACGAACGACGCCCCATGGCAATAGCTCATCTTGACGATGTCAAGGTGAGCTAAAAATGATCCAAGATATAAGGATAATCAATGATATTAGAATAAAATATCCCAGAAAATGCACTCACTGACAAAGGGTGAGCTTTCTCATCCAATATATTCAAATGGCGAACATCTGTGTCACTAGTGGTCCGGTTCCGGATATGATAGAAGATGGCCAGAGCAACGCACTTGATTGTGTTTTTCAGATTCGGCTGGCTCACTGTACTGTCATCGAGAAATATGGTTGAGCATGAGCTGTACTTCCTTGTTTCCAATTTTGTATGCTTGATAGACGCCACCTGGTAAAAGGGTGACATACACATATAACATGTCTATATGGGCGTCAAATTCATTATTCTTAGCCTTACTATATAACCTTTTTTTCGCATTCATGAATAACATAACTAGAAGACCAAACTAAATTTCCAGCATTATCAATACGAAAATGAACAACAACTTAAACCCTCAATTGCGAATTAAACACAGACAACCACAGCCTCTGGTCTCTGCCAGTCTACCCTTATATAAATGGAATACCACATACAAGCAATGACTATCACATAGTCACCTTAAACACATGGTGACTGCCTGATAGCAGACATATAATATTCAGAGCGCTTTTACGGTCATGATGCAGAAACAGGCAAATAGTAAGTTAGAATGGGGAAAAAAATAGACAAAAGTGGAAATACTTCAGATAACCCTTATTTCGTATTTGTGATGACATAATTGTGGAAATGTGAAATTATGATATCACACGTTGCTTTTAGCAAGTTTACTCTTCATTACAGCAATACCTGTGAAAACGCTGGACAGTATCCTTAATTTACATATTATAACCAAATGAGTAAAATAAAAACAAACACAAAGTAGTATCCAAAAAGTTTTTTATTGTACAATATTTTATGGATTACACTGTATATCCATATACGATGTGTATTAAGGAATTCAACACGGAATACATATTCATATAATATTCTGTCATCTCATTGTCTTCTTCAAAATCGTAAATGTCTGAACTGCATGCTGACTCGGCGCACCCAAACAACAGAAAACTGGCTTGTAATTTACCATTGGTACAAGTGCGTACATAAATGTTTTCAATATCTTAACAGTAAAGTCAGTTGATCCATCACAAGTAAAATGACCTGTGAATTCCGCAGCTGCTTTATCATTTAGATATGATGAACCACCATTGAAACCTTTCATTTTATCTAGCCTACACAGAGCAATATAGCTCCTGAAGCTGATGTGAGTCTTGGCAACAGCGGGGGCATTGTAAAAGCGTGACATAGTTTACGGGCATGGAAGTCCAGAGAGAGAGAATCTCCCGGGCCCAATTTATTACTCGAACCTGAGTGGACAATAACAACGAGTTGCGCGTGACGTCATAACTACGAGTATGCATCAATCTGTTACATCTCCCTTTTCCATATGCTTATAAACATTGTGAGAGCTAATAAAGACAGCATATACTTGTATGCTAGATATTAATCGTTACGGTTCAAATGCTTGTTTGTTATTTCTATTGCTATAGATATGGTATCTCAGTTCAGCGAGTTCTCAGTTACTATGTACGTGAATACATGTATTTGCAAATGTCACGACAGTACCTATGACGTAACAGGTAATAGACAAACATAAATGATTACTGAGCGCACCAGCATAACTAAACGGATGCTGACTAATCAACGTTCTAGATCAACAAACTTTCTACGAACTACGAACTGTATATATATATCCAAACAAAACTCCCAACTAGAATAACTGTTCAACCACAAGTGTTACAATGTTCAGGTCTGATAGTCCGCATATTTTTGTCGCATCTTCACTACCCTTCCGCGATTGGTAATACGTATATTGGATGGAACGGTGTGTGTTGCACTGGATAGAACAGTATGTGCTGTAGTGGATGGAACAGCATGTGCTGTAGTAGATGGAACAGCATGTGCTGTACTGGATGGAACAGCATGAACTACGTTGGACGGAACAGTGTGCACCGGACTAGATGGAACAGTGCACCCTTGACTGGACGGTTGTTGATCATCTGGTGGCAAGATGATAGGCGGTGGTTCATTCATCTTCCTCAAATGTCTGCGTTTTCTTCGATATTCGTGACCACCACAGCTGACAATGTAGGAACGTGGATTGCCGCCTGCTGTGCCAGTTACAATTGTTGGTTCCCACACTTTCCCTTTCTGAATTCGAACAACGTCGCCAGGAATCAGATGTTTCAGGCTCTTCGCACCACGATCGTAGTACAACTTCTGACGCTGCTGACTGTGGTGTAGCTGACTACGTGCCTGCACAGTCTGTGGCTGAAGTAGCTTGCCTGTTGTCGGTAGCTTGCTTCGTAGCATTCTGCTCATCAGCAGTTGTGCTGGAGAATGTGTCATTCCAGACACAGGCGTGTTGCGATACTCAAGCAAAGCTACATACGGGTCTCTCCGATCCTCCGCAGCTTTCCTGAGCATCTGCTTCATGGTCTGAACTGCCCTCTCACTTAAGCCGTTGGACTGGGGGTATGTCAGACTAGACGTTGTCAAACTAATCCCCCATTCCGCCGCGAATTTGCGAAACTCCCGACTCTGAAATGGCATGTTGTCTGTCACTAATTCCTCTGGAATTCCGTGGCGGGCACACACACTCTTAAAGTGCGTGACCACTGTGCTTGCCATCTTGTCGGACAGCAGCGCTACCTCAGGGTACTTCGAATAATAGTCCACGATGACCAAATAGTCTTTCCCACTTATCTCGAACAAATCTGCCCCTACTTTCTGCCAAGGTCGCTTTGGAATGTCATGCGGAATCATTGGCTCTTTCTGATTCTTGCATTTGTGGTGAAGGCATACTGATCATTTTGACACAAAGTTCTCAATATCTGCTGCCATACCGGGCCAGAACATAACAGATCGTGCGCGAGCTTTGCACTTTTCCTCCCCTAGGTGGCTCTCATGTATTATCTGCAGCATGTCCTTCCTCAATATGGCTGGAACAATCAGTTTCTCTCCCAAGAAGAGCAATTCGTCGGCTTCATATATCTCATCTCTGAAAGCATGATACTGACGTAACTGTTCCGGTACTCCTTTCTTGTGTGTGGGCCAACCGCCATACACGATTTTCTTTAACTCTTGCAACTCACCATCAGCATTTGTTGCCGACCTGATCTCGTCTATCTTCTTAGCTGAGGCTGGAAGTTTTTCAATGAGCACATGCACCATAACTTCCACTTCCTCATCACATGACTGATCATTGTCGTTAGTGTTTTCCAAGTACGCTCTGCTTAGCGTATCTGCCATGTACATGTACTTACCAGGTACGTATCGTACATTCAGCGTGTAGCGTTGCAGCTGTATCATGAGACGTTGCAGTCTAGGTGAAGCTTTGCAGAGTGGTTTTCGTACTATGACCTCTAGTGGTTTGTGATCAGTTTCCACTTCAGTGTCTTTGCCGTATATGTACTCATGAAACTTGCATGCAAAACAAATCGCCAGCATCTCCTTTTCGATCTGAGTGTAATTCTGCTCAGCTGACGTCATCGAACGGGATGCAAACGCTACAGGTTGTCCACCCTGTAAGAGACATGCACCTAGTTCTGACTGTGATGCATCTGCCTGAATCTTGACTGCCTTCTTCACATCATAGAATTTCAACACGGGCTGACTGGTCAAGATACGCTTCAGCCACTGCAGTGCTTGTTCATGTTCGGGTTGCCAGTCAAAAATCACTCGTTCTCGAAGTAAATCTCTCAACGGTGCAGTAATATACGATTCATTCGGAATGTACTGTGCTAAGTACTTCACCATACCCAGCAGTCGCTGCAGCGCCTGTTTGTCTTCTGGCTGTGGCATATTGGCAATCGCTTCCACTTTCTTGTCATCTGGTTTTAGCCCTTCAGCCGACACATAGCTAGGGGCCTTAGGGTCAAAATAGGTTAAAATATTTACATGGCGGACAAAAGCGCCAAACTTTTTTTGTGGTTAGGGTAGGTCATAGTGATCAATTTTAGAAGGGGTGCCCGCGGCTATCAACTTCCGGTGGCGGCCATATTGGATTTTTCAAAATGGCCGCCTTCGAAAACGAGTGCGTCTACTCTGTTTCATATCTTTGGTTCTAATTGAGATATTTTAATGATGTTGGTGTCTAAAATAATGTTTTTAAGGTCAGTGACCCCGATTAGTGGCTGCTTATGAGTTAAGTTATCTGGAGTGAACCTGGAATGGCGTTGTGAAGATTAGTTATATATCGAACCAAAGAAACTAATATTCTCGCATATATTTAATATTATCTCTTGCTTCTATATCACGATTTAACAGGGTGCTACTTGCTCGTTTATTTCTTGAATGTAATCCTATGTAGTGTAGAAAAGTAACAACATTTTATATGGGTAATATTATACTAGATTCTGGATTGAGATTTAACTAAAACCCTTTGTCAACAATGATATAAAAAAAGTCTATTGTAGTTGTCAGCTTTGGATTACATTAGAGCTCAAGCATAAATGGAAGTACATTTCATTTACTGTAAACATTGTAGTACCAAGTCAAGCGTCGTTGCATCTACATTTCCTTGTGCTATAGAGGCAAAGCTTGTACATCACAACTGGGAGATAAGCTTCGACAAGCCTTCGGCCGCTTCATGGTAGATCAGTTCAGTGTGGTATTCATCGAGTTTGCAACTTTCTCCCCACCATAGTCTTCTGGGGTGGTTGGTTTGTCGGTGAAATGGTGTGACACCAAGGAACCATCTCTCGCAGGACTGAATACTGCACTCAAGTTTCTCTCTCTGTGTGATCAGACAAGCAAATCCTGAATTATCAGTTCGCTGAATCGCTGCTCAGAAAAGCGGAGGTTAACTTCTTCTCTATCGTTATTTCCTGTATACTAATTCTCTCATCTCCTTTCTTCAATTTCATTATGCCTCTTTCCCCGTTGAGAAGAGCCAGTGCGTAAATTGATGTGCTGCCGCGTACGTTTTAGATAGTTGATGGATATATGTAGTCTGCTTACCCGTTGTGCAGTACTGTCAGTCAAGCTGATGTAGTCAGCAGATTCATCCAGCACAACCGATTTGCCAAAATTCATCTCTGGTGAAGTCGCCCTACATTGAGAATGAGTCGGATCTTCACATTATCTATTTGGCCAGTGCCAATAAAATACTTCCGAAAGCAACAGCGGCTGGGTCTTCGCAATCAAGGTACTTGTTCTGGTTCAGTTTCAGTGATAGTTTTGAGGGATGTCTATGCTCATGTTAATCATTGATAGGTTGCAAGCTTTCTCTTGAAATAGATGAAGGAGGA